CCTCACTCGTCCGCAGCGTCGCTCCACCACCCTGTGTCCTCCATGCCTGGCCACTTCCCCGTCTCTTTCCTCGGCCCCCACATGTCTCCCTTTGGCCTCATGCCACCCCCACGGGACGCCGCCCACTTGCCTTTCCCCCACCCCCTCAGCCTGTCCCTTCCCTCCTCCATTCCTATGCCCCTCCCACCCAGCAGGGATTCCTTCTCCATGAGGCGAGAATCTCCTCTAACCAGGATGAACCTCGTTAGCTCCACCCCTAACGAGGCCAGCGTCATCAAATCTCCACAGCCGCGAGCAAGCCCCGCCCTCAGCGCGCGAGACTCCTCCCCTTCCTCAGACCGCAGCAAATCCCAACACCAGCTCTCACCCTCCCTCACGCCGCAGCAGCGCTCTCGCCATTTTTCCCGGGAGTCTCCATACCAGCGCGAGATGAACGACAGCTACAACAGCGACGACAACAACGAGGGAAGCATCTCCAACAATAACAACAACAACATCAATAATAACAACAATAACAATAACAACAACAACAACGATTCGGAGGGCAAGAGATCTGAAGAGCAGAACTCCGAGGATCAAGCTAAACGCGATGCCTTGAGCCCGAGAGGCGGAGACAGAAGTCGAAGCCCTTCCCCTGCCAGTAGGAAAGCCACGCCCAGTGTTTCCAGCACGCCCGGTGCCGCCGCCGCTGGTCCTGGGTCCCCCCACCGAGGCTCCTCCCCTTCCCCCTCCCCCCATAACTCCCCCGCCTCCGTCATCAGCTGGGCGTCTTTGACCTCTCCCCAGCCTCCCCTACTGCCTGGTCACCATGGCAACCTTTTACCACCGCATCACCCACTTCCACCCGGCTTCCCCGGCCTTGGCCTTCCCTTCCCCGGCACACCCACCTCCTTCCCGCTCCACTCCCACCTCAACCCGGTTCTACCAATGTCCGGACCTAGACTGAGCGGACACTCCCCATTCCTGCCCCCACCACCCCCGCCGCCCCCACCCCAGATCTCCAACCCTGCCTCGGACGGCGGAATGTTCCGGAACTCGATCCTCCCCACAAAGACGATCGACCCCTCCGAGAACCTAGAGCAGTATATGGAGGTCCAGAAGTCAGAGACCTCGAAGCTAGAACAGCTTGTCAAGAATATAGAGCAGAAGATCACAGACCCCAACCAATGCGTCGTGTGCCATCGAGTCCTGAGCTGCAAGTCGGCGCTCCAGATGCACTACAGGATCCACACCGGCGAGAGACCCTTCAAGTGCAAGATCTGCGGCCGCTCGTTCACTACCAAGGGGAACCTCAAGACTCACATGGGCGTGCACAGAGCGAAACCGGCGCTCCGCATGATGCACCAGTGCCCGGTGTGCCACAAACAGTTCACCAACGTCCTTGTCCTGCAGCAGCACATTCGAGCACACACCAGCTCCATGCAGCCCATGCCGCACCTCCCGCTCCTCCCGTCTCCTATGGACTGGGCCTCACACAGACCTTTCGGCATGGGTCGCCACCACCCGTACTTACCTCCCTTACCTCCCGACATGCAGAGTCTTGACCTGTCCCGGGGTGCCCACTTCCCAGGTGGTCTAGACGGCCGTTTCCCGTTCGGTGAGCGCTCTCGCAGTCTGGAGAGTGATCGGAAGGGCGACATGTTCACGCCGAACAAGGAGAAATCAGACATACAGGAGGACAAAGAGAGCGTCCGCTGTAAGACGGAGACCGGATCTGACGAGGAGTTGTCCAAGGAGGAAGATCTGAGCAAACCACATTCCCCGAGCAGCCCCGGCTGTGAGGACAAGGACAGAGCGGCCTCCAGTCTCTCAGAGTCTGCCCGGGACACGTCACCTCACGCAGGGATGCAGTTCTCCAAACCAGACTTTGACTCAGCTTTTTTACCGCCAGCATTCGGCAGCACACCCTTCGGCGCCCCTTTAGCGGCTTTAGAAGAACGTGTCAAGGCGATTGACAGCCAGGTATCCCAGACATCATTCGAGAAGTTTCGGAACAGTATGGGCTTGGACTCAACATTCTTCCCATCAGCGATGTCTGGCGTTCACCTCGACAAGAGCTCGGAGTACGGGTCTGAATCTGCCAGCAAATCGGAGAGCCCCTCCTCGGGAGACATCCCACCCTACGGCTTCCCAATGTTCGCCGGCTATGACGGCAGCGGCGAGAGAGGAAACATGTCCACAACTTGCAACATCTGCATGAAAACGTTCGCTTGCAGGAGCGCGCTGGGTATACATTATCGAAGTCACAGCAAAGAAAAACCGTTCCAATGCCACATCTGCGACCGAGCTTTCAGCACTAAGGGCAACATGAAGCAGCACATGTTGACGCACGACGCAGAGGAGAGAGCGGCGGCCGGCGAGAGCCAGACTGGCGAGGAGGACATGCCGGACAGAGACTTTGGCGAAGATGATGACGACGACGACGACGAGTTGCCGAATGAAAATTACCAGGCAGAGGAAGATGCGATGGACGAGTACGGAATGGCTCAAGACTTGGAGCAGGATGAGGATATGGATGACATGGGGGAAAGGTTTAACGAGTCAAATCCAGACGACATTGAAGCTTTGGACGAATCTGATCGACAAGCGATAAAAACTGAAGACGATTTACAAGACAGAAAAGATAGCATGTCCCAGCCCGGTGTAGACCCCAACGACGATACAGAAGAGGAGGGCGCCAACGATCCAGCCAGTGAATCCCAAGCCCGGGCCGGCTCGCCAGACACAGCCCAGGACACGTCAGAGCGGGAAGCCAAAACGCCATCTCACCCTGACCGCCCGAGTTCCAACCCCGACAGCTCATCTATCTCAGAGATAAAGCCTGAGATAAACGACAGTCAGACGACGCCCCAACAGAAGCAGCGACCAGGGGGTCACGGCGACTTTACGTCCAGCTCCTCGCCTCCCACAGACTCCCTGTCCAGCCAATCACCTGGCAACCAGACTCGGAGACCCAACGGCCCCAAGCACCAATGCATGACGTGCATGAAACCCTTCTCCTCCGCCTCGGCGCTACAGATTCACATGCGCACTCACACAGGTGACAAACCATTCAAGTGTACTGTCTGCAGCAAGGCTTTCACCACCAGAGGGAACCTCAAAGTTCACATGGGCACTCACATGTGGAACAACAGCCCATCACGACGGGGACGGCGCATGTCCATAGAACCCCCCTTCCTCCTCTCCCACATGAAAGATAACCCCTTCCTCCCCCCTGGCTTCCCACCTCGCCCCCACCCCGACTTCTTCTACCAGTACCCTCCCCCTATGATGAACGGTCTAGGTTCTAAAATGAATGAGATCTCGGTGATCCAAAGCCTGGGTGGCGGCCTCCCCAATCTGCCCCCGATCCCACCCCACCTCATGCACGGATTTCTTCCCAAGGAAGAGCTCAAGTCCGAGTTCCGGCCCGAGCACCCTCGTCTGCCAACTACCTCAGAGATGGACACACCACGTGACCCCCACTCGTTCAAACAGGAAGTAGACCAGAGGCCGTCCTACCCGAACACGCCGACCGGCGAGCTAGATCTCAGCATGAAGTCCTCCTCCTCCTCATCCTCCTCCTCCGGCCCCGCCGCCCCGCCCCCACACCCGGAGGACAACAGGACGCGGTCTCCCTCCGCCTCCCCTCCCCCACCTCAGCAACAACAACAGCAGCAGCCGTCCTCTTCCTCAGTCCCACTTACCATCAACGCCCCGCCCCCTTCCGCCATCTCCAGCACTTCCTCCAGTACGCCGTCGCCCAGCAACAACAAGGAAAACAGCAGCGCCAGCCTGGCGTTGGACTTGCGCAACATGGGTCGCGGTGGGGCTCCATGGCTGTGGGGCAGCGTCCCGTGCCACCACTGTGGTCAGCTCTTCCCCTCCCCGGACTCGCTGGAGCACCACGTGAGGAGCCAGCACCTCAGCAAACCCGCCGACTCCGCACAACATTCCCTGTCCAAGGCAGAGCCACTCCCACCTCTGCCACCCAAGGCTCTCCTGGCCTAAAGCTGCTTCCACACAGAGACGTTTGGCTTTACGCACCCTTGACTTTACGTTCTCTGATCAGTTCAAAGAGCGAATTCACATGGCTGGCTGTCTTTTGAGCGGACGATTAGGGCCATTCCGTGAAAACTGACACACATCATGTAGGGGTGATAACCTGCTGAAATGGGGGGGGGGGGTCTAAATCTAAGCGATGATATAGCCATTCTTTTTTTCTTTGTGTTTGGCGTAGGTTGCATCTAACAAACAAAAAGAGTAAAGAATGGCTTTAACACTGCTTAGATCTGTGTCAGTAGGCCATCACCTCCCCAGTATGTGTACCTCTTGTCATGGAACGGGTCAATACCGTTTTGTCCCAACTGTGGAACAGGATATATCTCGAAGACCCCCACTGAACCCAAAACGGGCCGGAGACATCGTGACTATAAATTCTACCAGGCGTGTGACTGTACGTCAGTGGACCATTTCTCAGCGTAGTCTCAAGCGTTGGCTGAAGAGGACACCCCTCTCTTCCGTAACTTAAGTAGCGCAAGCTGGCTGGCGATCATGCATTCATGATTCCATTTTTTTAAACATCTCATGTCTTTTTGTGCACTCTTTTCGCTTAATACTTACATTATATTCTCGGAACGCAAACTTTGTTCGATCTTACCACCAGGATTGTGAATGTCTCAATGCTGAAAATGATTACTTACTTTGGAAAAACAAATTGTTTTTACGTTTGATTTCTTGTAAATGACATTAATTAATTTCCTCACTTTTTGTGCATAGATCTATATGTGTGTGTATTTGTGTGTGTGTGTGTGTGTGTGTGTGTGTGTGTGTGTGTGTGTGTGTGTGTGAGTGTGTATATATATATACATATATATATATATATATATATATATATATATATATATATATGTGTGTGTGTGTGTGTGTGTGTGTGTGTGTGTGTGTGTGTGTGTGTGTGTGTGTGTGTGTGTGTGTGTGTGTGTGTGTGTGTGTGAGTGATGGGTGAGAGTGGCTGAGTGTATGAGCAGCTGGAGTATGTGGATCAAAACGGTTTCAGTTTCGCTGTGAACGAGTAGTGGAATTGTTCCCTTCCTGGTGTCTCTTGTCCATGCAGCAGAAAGCACAACGCTGCACAATCCAAATGGAAAATTTTCATGACCTTGTACTTGTACATTACAATTGATACTAAGCTCATTATTTTTGTTATTCAGTGTGAAATAATAAAATGTGCGTCAGCATCTAACTGGCAATAAAAAAATCGTTAACAAAATATGTCTTTTTACTAGGACAACCAAAACGATGATTTCACAACCCAGATTTTTGTTTTGTATCACGATGTGAATGTAATAGGGAGACATTGATAATCATCATACGGCAGATCGGATGTACTATGTACAAAATTTTGATTTTTTTCAGTCATTTCTCTTTCCTGAAAAAGAAATACTTTCTCCTGCTTAGAACAGTTCAACAGCTTGTGGACGTCATTAACTCCCCATAACGTAGATAAAAGCAGTCATTTAGATGTAACTATGCCACAAGCCCGTGGTTCGCACAATCACTGAGGTTGAGGTGGGGCGCACTAGGCAGAGCAAGTACATCCTCTCGGGGTCGTTCTCAAAATGGGAGGCCACCAAAATCGACAAAAGTTTTGGGTTACATTATCGTGTCGTCTGTCAACGACGAAATCGGCTGGAAAGAGCTGTATGAAACAAAGTAAAATCAACTGGACAGAGCAGTGTAAAATAAAGTAAAATCAAGTGAACAGAGCAGTATAAAACAAAGTAAAATCAACTGCTTGCCACATACGCGCCAGCCGGAAACACAAAAGGTGTCCTTAGAGCGAGGTGTCCCAGCTATGTAGATCCTCGACAAGTTGTCAGACTTGACTCTCCGAGACGCATTGCTCTTGTAGTTGCACAATAATACACCGTCGCCGTTATCCATCAGTGCGTTTGTCAAAATAACGAGGTTTTGGGGAGAAGCGAAAAACTGCTATTTCAAGCGGAACTTTATGCGAATACAAGATCTTTAATTCGTCTATATCCGTTATTGTTTTATGAAGAAGAAAGAGATGAGGAGTAGTCAACAGACCTCATCAAAATGTACAACATACCCAATCTTCTTTTTTTTTTCTTTCGAAAGTATGACGGCGACGATATGCAAAATTAATGTCTAGATCTAGATGTGTGTTCTAGTAAGGGCGTATTCCGGAAATTGTTGCGCAGTTGGTTGCAGAATGAGTCCAGTACGTTGAACCTCGAGTGAACTTCGATTTTTTTCTTTCTTCCAAAAATTCTCCCACGAGATTAGATTAGGAATGGAATGGAAACGTTTAGCTCTCACCATTGCTTAGGTTAATTGTGTCTAGTGGCGAGAGGAGACCTCAGTAAAATTTATGCAAAATGTGGATGATTGACTAGATTTTATACAAAAGTTTTTTCCATGCTCTTGAAATGGGCAAGCGGACTCGAACATCACGTGTGGGGTAATCCTGTTGGACACACACCACAAGATCTGAAATGACCTTAAAAAATGAAACAAGAGTGCTGACTGTGAGCTCGATGATTAGGAGGTTTACACTTTGCAGTACATATTATTGTCTATACATGTTCATAAGAAATCCTCATTGTTTCTTGTAAGTATGTGGTACAACTTTTTTCTCATCTGTCGAAAGTATAATTTTTTTCATTTCAAAAGGCTGGGGCCGCGAGATTTTATAAAACAAGGAAAAACAAACGTTTTGTAAAAGCACCCAGAGCTGTGTACACACGATACTAGGAGCTATAAAACGGGGTACATCATCATTATTATCATCATTATTATTATTATTATTATTATTATTATTATTATTATTATTATTATTATTATTATTATTATTATTATTATCATCATCATCATCATCATCGCCACCATCATCATCATCATCATCATCATCATCATCGTTTTAAAGTGCATGGTCAGATCAAATGTTCTTACTTCAGCTATGTTATGATGACTATGGAGGTTTTGAATATTTCCCCTTGTTCGGCTTGTCATATTGACATTTTATATATATTATTGTGCACACTCATACAAATGTGTCCCCCTCTTGTCACATGGTTGACACTTTGGCCCTGTAAAGGCCCCCACACAATACCTCAGTTGTATGTACATTTGTCTGTCTGTCTGTGTCCCTCAATGCTGTGTTGGTATTTTATGACAAACGAAAAACACATTTCTGTAAATGTCGATATATTATTCCTCGTACGACATGTATTACTGCGAATGTTCTTAGTCAATGTACAAACCAATCTGCCCTCGTCTTGTTGCCCGCAGGAAATCCCGTGGACTAGTATGATCGTCTTTTATCTTCTGTGTTGATGAATGTTTCTATTCTTTGCCCATGCTTCCTCTAAACTCGACCTCAGATTCGTTCACATACCAAGTTGTCCAATCAAAGTTTGATCAATGGCGGGACTGGATTCTGCAAACTTATAAAAATCCCTTGCAATTTGTGTATGGTACCGTCTAGCCATGTGCTTACGTGTTTCGTTTTTGTGGGCTGTGTGTATGTGTGCTGATTTTACAGTTCAGGAGTGAATAATCACCATTTCCTGTGATGGTTTGCATGTGGAGGCGATATGGAGCAGGGAGGGTTATAGTAATGATGATTTCTAATATTATAATTGTAATTGATCTTCAGCTCGTCAATTTCCATTTGGTCTGTGAACTGTGTTCATTAATCCACTCACGTGTATATTTCATTAACCATAGTTTGTGTTTATAAATATTGTAAATTTGTAATGGCGAATTATGATTTTATGAATAGTGGTCCTCTCGCTTGCCATAATGCGACTGCTGTGATTGGCAAACGAAAGTGAAATCGCCAGTGTCGCTTGGATAATGTACGTCTCAGGGCTATAGTGAGCGGGGGCGTGAAGGTTGCTTGTGCATTTATTTACATGTTTCTTGGACTTAGTATTTATGGTATCCACAATATTATATTATCTCTTTCCTTTGCGTATTTTCATAATTTCGAGATTTGAGACTGAGGAGAACGTATTGTTTATATATATATATATATATATATATATATATATATATATATATATATATATATATATATATATATATATATATATGTATGTGTGTGTGTGTGTGTATGTGTATGTGTATGTGTGTGTGTGTGTGTGTGTGTGTGTGTGTGTGTGTGTGTGTGTGTGTGTGTGTGTGTTTGTGTGATTATGGTTTGAAATTATCCCTAGAGGTTTCTGTACCGAACGCTTGGAGTCTGCCTGCCGCACGTTAGATAGTCTGACACAGAACGCCAGTAGAACTACTTACTGAATGCTTGCAATATTATTTGTTGGCTTTCATCATTCAGTTCGTTTTGTTTTTCATTTAGTGTCACCTCTTTTAGCAACTCTCACTCTGTTTTCCCGTATCTAATTTTACATCAGTTTTTTTGTCTCCCTTTGTATCTCGTTATCTGCCAGTCTGTCTACACATCTGATTGTCTTTCTGTCTGTCTGTCTGTCCGTCTAACGACAATGTATTTACCTGCTTGCCTCTCAGTCTGTCTGTTTGTCTGTCTGTCTGTCTGTCTGTCTGTCTGTTTGTCTGTCTGTTTGTCTATACATATGTCTATATAACTTTGTTTATACGTTTTCTCAATAATTCCAGTAAAAGTGAACATTTGACTTTCAAGTCTGATAACGACCTCTCCAGGTCTAAGGTAATTAGTATTGGCTTCAGGGTGAAGGCTACTCCCAGAACGACTTTAGAATTTGTCCTAACGTTTTCTTGTGAATATTTTACCGTATCATATTTTTATTCTACACAATGTTTTAGCATTTTCTAAACCCCATCGTAACTGATAATTAACCACATGGGCAATAATTTATCGCAAACCTGTCGTTAAGTTCGCCACCTCCACGGTTTTTTGGTTTGTTTGTTTGTTTTTTGTGGGTTTTTTGTTGTGTTGTTTTTTTTGCTTCTCCTTTCTTTGTTTATTTTTTTCTATGTTCATTTATTATTATTTTCTTAATTTTCGAGTTTTTTACTTTCTTTGGTATTCTTTCATTTGTAAATTGTTATCTCGTTTTCTTTTTATTTATCTTATTTTGTTACGGTTTTTGTTTGTTTTCGGTTTTTTTGTTTTGGAAGAGGGGAGGTAAATGGTTTTCATTTTGTTTTGTACTGTTTGGGTTTTGTTTGTTTTCTTCTATCTATTATTTTGTATTTTGTATTACCTTTTTTTTAAAAAGAAATACTTATTTCTTTTATTCTGTTTTATTTTAT